CGCACCGCTGGAACGAATTGCGTTCGTTATGCGAGGTACCACTGTATGTCCGTTTAGTATCGAGGAGGAGATAGGAGGTATCAGGAAGTTGGTGGGTGAGATTCAGAGGGATGATTTAGTGCCGAGGCTTAGTAGGGTGGAGGAGGCACTTCGAGCGTTTCCCAACCTTCTGGACTTTACCGGTGGCCTTTCGTCCTTTGGGTGGGTAGTAATAACGCCGAAAAGAATAGTGCCGAAACGGAATAACGCCGACACAGAAAAGAAGCGGCACAGAATTGCATGGACAGGAAATAAGTCGACGCAAAACAACATCGAACTGGAAATACATCGACACGGAATAAGTTAGACAATAAATATATCGACACGGAGCAGCATGGAACGGAATTACCTCGACAAAATCGCTACTCGGAATAAATCCGACAGAAGTACGCCAACACGGAATTAGTTCGACAGGAGCATACCCGGATTTGCATCGAAAAGAAATATTCAAGACAGGATCCACGCCGACATAGAATAACACAGACAAACTAGCATAGGTGAAGGTGGTGGTAGTGATAGCGTCACGTAGATGTGGCATATGTTGTGAGAAAAATATTTGCGGGCTAGGTGTCTAACGATGCTTCATTCTATCATGTGCAGAATGCTGGAAAAGATTTGGCAAATGCACAGTCGACTCCACAACATTAAAAATCGAGAATTTATTGGGGGCACAATGGAATAGTTATGGAAACATGGAAACAAGTTCAATTAATTGATTGAGAGAGAGAGAGGGTGGCAAAAAAAAAACTCTGAATAAATCACCAATTACTTGTCTACACTGTGTACATCTACCGTCTTGCGCAATTATGACTAAAGCAAACATAGCACATCGTGTGGCCGCAAGGGATGAGGGCAGAATCTCCATCACAAGTCTTGCATATGTCACATAAGAATGTTGCAGACCCTGGTGGCAGTGGGGTGGACTGTTGCGTTTCCTCAACGGGACAGAAGGGATCTCGAGATTCGGATCCCCATTCTGAAGAGTGATTGCTGCCATTATTTTCTAATGGGAAGTCAGGAGATTCCGGCCTGGGAGAGGATGAGAAAGGGTTCACGTCCATTCCCATTTCAGAACGCACACGACCTCCAGAAGTGGGCATGTGTGCACCGTAGAGGTTATGATCTTGGGTATGGGATCGTTGGAAAGCTGGGGGTGGAGTAGGTGCTGACAAAATGCGCTGGTTAGTGAATAGTGTCACACAAGTAGTGGGTTCGCTCTGCGTCATAGTGAAACCCTTTCTGGAAGCTGGATTTACTGGACCGTCTTGTCCACTGTATTTATCCATTTATAGATACATTGGACAATAACAATCCCTTCGTGCTCCACAGGGAGCACGGAGAGGAAAAAAAGATGCCAATCAAGAGTTGTTGGGAGCTCATTTCAAACATTGTTTAAAGATTTTCTCGCATGATCCTCTGCAGGAAGCACCACATTTCAGCCTTTCTCAGGATTAATATTAACTATTCTCAGGATTAATAATTATTTATTTTCAAGATAATTGCAGGCGACAGGACATTCTCATGTCACACTTCCCTTGTCACACTTGAATTAACCCATTGCTATCGGAACGAGTCTAAAGCATAGGTGAACAGCATAACATGATCCTATATGCCTGATCTAATTTCAAGTGAACACTTTCCCGCGATTTCCCCCATACATTCCAGGGAGCAATAACGCTTTCTTCGATCCGGCGTTGAAACAATTTAGAATATATCTCTGGAATTTCAATATTTTTGCTCATTTCTTTATTGCGTTAGTGAGCATATACGTATTCTTTTCCGTGGTTATATACCGGTAATTCTTTGTGAAGATCTCATATCGATACGTTTGTTTTGCCAAATCAAAAAAGAAGCCGCAGGAGATACTTGGAAATATTGCTCAAGTGAGCATCTTTACGTACTTAGCCATTATCACCTTTTTTCGGTATACAGGGTGGGCTAGAAGTAAGTAAACACGTTTGTACTCCAAAAAAAAACTTTTATTGAAAAGCAATGCAACTTGACAGTGATACACAAGAAAGCACATGTTCATGAAGCATTTATAGCCATAAATATTTTCAAAAAAGCTGCTCAATGTGTCCACTGTTTAAGTCTTTGCACAACTGCAGTCTTACTGGTAGTGATAGGTGAACTAGCTGGCATAACTCCACTGGCAATCTCCACTTTCTGGCAACGATTGTGTCTTTTAATGCTGGAAGAGTCCGAAATGTCATTGCATGCACAGTGTCTTCGATTGATCCCCAAAAAAAGAAGTTGGCCAGAGTTAAGCCAAAAGACCATTGCAGGCCAATAAATCGGTCTATGCCCCCTGATGCAAAGACCATGAAACATTTTGTTCCAAAAAGTCACGAATGTGGTTAGCATAACGAGCCAGAGCACCATCTTGCATTTCCTTACTTCATTTGAAATGTCACCGTAGTAATAATTCCTTTATTCAGATTTTGAAGATGGCAGTCTCCTATATTCGTTCAAGATGGTGCTCCAGCCTATTACTCTCGCAATAAACTAGTGATGAACTGTGTTCCGACTGCTATAAGCGTCATCAAACATTAGTGAATGCCAAAACAGGATCAGCATCATATGGTGAGAACCGAGGAACTTCCCAGGAAGATACATCATTCGTTCCAACAGAAGAACTCGTGCCGGCTGTAAATGAAAGCGTGTCTGCTTTGGAAGTGGGCATCACACCCTTAAAGCTACCAAGCACTATCCGGACCGAAAGGAGGAGGGCATATGGAAAACGGAAAAATCATCGGGTAGCCTCTACTTTGTATTCAAAATCTAGGAAGAAAATTAAGGAAGTCTACGAAAGGTCCAGTACAGAAAGTGCGTCAAGCGGAGGAATATGCCAAGGATGTCAAGAGTGGGAGCCAAGTCCTTCACTTGCTGGAATCGAACAAGGAATGAATACGTCAGAGGTAAGATCTGGTCGGTGGTGTGCTCCGAGTCGGCGGAGGAAGTGTCGGTGGTCCTTGGGACACGTTGGGACAAACGACACTCCCAAGTCTGGCTCTGAAATCATCATGGGCAGGCTGAGACAGGCTATTAGGGAATGGATGGGAGGGGCGTACCAGGGCGTGTCGGGAGGCGAGGTCGGGGGTGCAGGTGACGGTATGAGCGATTCCAAGCCGGTTACGCAAATGAGGAATCACGTGGTCTCGGTGGAGCATTTTTCATATGCTGCGCAAATCGACCATTGCATCAGGGTAGATGTTAACATCACATTGTCGAATTTTTCATCGCCACATGATATTAATATTGATATGCTGGACACATACACCTAAAAATCAATCATGATTTCGTGACCGTTGCTTCCTTCAACGTCCTCGGAAAATATCCATGTTTAAAAATCAATAACTTTGTAATAAGGCAAATAAAGGAGGAAATTTTTGTACTACGCTGTAACCGATGCCTTCTAGTATCAACATTGAAGAAATGAAGAAAAGCAAAGATGGGATTTTTGAGGAAAAAAAAATATTCACCCATTTTTCGGAAAATGACGAGAGTTGCAAATTAATATCAAATTAAGCATTAATGATATAAATGCCAAATGACAACAAGAGATGCCCGAATGTATGTAGTTCATGAAAATATAGTTGATTCAAGATGGGATACACACTCAACTGGCGAAAAAATTCAGCAAAACCCAGCAAATTCAGCAGTTTCGTCAATTTTTAAAGTGAAAAGTTACGTGTTTATAAAATTATAACACAGGTTTTTCGCAAATGTTTACACAATACATACATTCAAGTGAGAAATTATTTTCAGAAATCTATGCACATTACTTTAGGAGATACAGCGGTGTGGTTCATCCCCCCTCATATCTCCAATACCGGCAGGGTGCCGTGGAAGGATTTATTTATTTATATATTTTTTTATTATCCGAGACTCTGCCCTGTCAGGCCCTGCCTGATTTGAAATGAAACCACCCATGGTTCCATTTCGAAATTTCACAGTTCCATTTCGATTTCCATTTTTTTAAGCTGCTGGTTGTCATCACCGTACTACATCTGGACCTTCGCAGGTCCTGTGCTACTCATTATTCTATTGAATGCTCTCTCCTTGTTTCTGGTGATTCGAAACATCAGCCGCAGAGGGCAAGTCGGCAACTCAAAACAGAAACATGACTTGTGAGGAACCTTGCGGATATTTACTTCGCCTTCGAATGTTCATCACGTCTTCAGAAAATGTTGTATTACTGCAGTCACATGGTGTGGACCACAGTGTCTCTGTCTTGCCTACTGGGCACCGGCTGGATGTTCGGGTTCATGTACATGCAAGTCACACCTGTCTTCATCTACCTATTCACCATCGTCAATGCCTCTCAGGTAAAATCCATGAAGAAAGCGAAAATCAAAGCTAAATAAATTCTACGAATGATAATTTATCCATTTGTACTTTCACCCCATAAATACCGAAGGGAATTTTTACGAGGGGAGGGGGAAGGGACATTATTTTCCCGTGTTAAAATGATGTTGCTTCCGGACCGGACTAGGGAGGAAGTTCTGTATAATACTCACGTCTAAATTCGCACTGAAGTAAAGGATTGAAATTGCGCTAACTATATCACGCATTTAACCTTTTACCTCATATATGCCATTACATCTGCAGAGGGTAACTTGGGGGGGATATGGTCATTCGAGTAACATGGCCCTTCACTACGAATCCCCCATCAGGAAAGGATCCGAAGGCACAATACCCATGTGTTTTTTTGCATGTGTCTTGCTGGGATTTAATAAAAGAGATAGCAATCAATATTTCGGAAACACTGTGCAAGTCATATTCGACCTTGATGGGCCATTACAGGTTACATTTTTTAGGGTCACAATCCCCAAAATTACCTTATGGAGGAACATACAGAGGGAACTGACGAACTATTAAGGATATCGGGTAGAGTGAATAAATTCGCAACGCTTATTTTTAATTAAGGGCAGGCCACATGTATCCATGTTTCCCCTTCGTGACATATTTTGATTTGAAATCGAGGTAACGATTCTCGGACACCCTGTATGTTCCATCCTGACTCCACACCGACATGTTTATCTGATTTTCTCAAATCAAAAGTTTCAGTTAGACTCATCAGTTCCTCTTCATAGACTCATTCGGTGTACGTTTAAAAGCCCTAGTATTAACAAGTGAAGCCGTCAAAAGCGTATGCATATGCAACTTCAGGTTTATTATTGCTGCCACGTGCACATATCTTTTACTATCTACAGTATAAAAAAAATTGAAAATTGTACCGATGAATAGCCATGTACAACATAAACCAATAAAGGGAAGAAGCTGAAACTTAGCATGTAAACTATAGGCAGTATGGGATTCTCAAATCCTTGAAGAAAAGAGTGGCAACAGATGGCACCACCAGTGCACAATTTGCTTGTCACATGCTCAGAAAAGGTCTGTGTGTGACGGCGGACTGGGAGGCATATCAGAGCTCGCTACGAGAATCGAAGTGATATACAAGTTTTACGAAAATGGAAGGAATGCGAAGACCGCCTTTAGGTCGTAACGTCAAAGCCACAGCATGCGCCAAGATTCATGCTCACGATCAATGTTGGGAAAACCTGCAGTAACAATATTCGAAAAGACCGGGGACCGGTTGCATTGCTTCAGTTAAAACTTTAATACCAAGTCTGACTTTGAAAGCCTGTCTAAAATTTTAGCCGGTTGCACTGACCCTGACTAATCTCAAGCGGGATGTCTTAACTGAATAAAGTCTGACTTTGAAACCCAATTACAGTATCTGATTTTGTCGAAAAGCTATGGCGATGGCTCATGATACCCGACATGAGAGAGATGTAGAAACTTCAAGAAGGGTATTCCGGGAAAGGTTTGATCCCTCGGAACGGCTTAGTGATTTTGAACATTATGAAGCAGGGCACTTCATTTAGATTTTACATATTTGAACGCTCATATCTCTGAGATGACGCAACCAATCTTGATGAAATTTGACGACATCATAGAACAACTTTTTACCAAAATAAATGGCAGTTTTGCTTCTCGCAGCGCCCTCTATCAGGTTGAAAAACTCATTCTATCTAAACCTCTGAAATCAAGATCTTATCAATTTGACAAAAATCCTTAAAAGCACATCATCCATTAGATTGGGCCTTGATCCAGTAGCCCTGAAAGTTTCATGATTCTATCCCTTCTCTATACTGAGATATCAATTTTCAAACGTGATAGTAGAATATGCTAACATATTCCAATTGACAGTTTTAGAATTACCCAGGATGAACCATCATAGAGGTACCCGTCGTTCATCCCATGGGGAGTTTTTTCAAGTGGTTCCCCTTGTTCCACAACGCCATCCAGCATCAAAAATTACAATCAGAAGATTATCCTTTGTAAAGCTTGATTTCCTTGCCGTGAATCTCAATGCAAACCTGGCATCGATTGAGGACTGAGCGACAGGCCTTCTGAACCACATCCTCAGGGATGGTGTCGAACTCTCCTTAACCTTTTCACTGCCGTTCACGCCATATGGCGTGTTCGGCGAAGCGAACCTCCGCTGCCGTTCACGCCATGTGGCGTGATCGGCGCGGGAGAAGTGCTTTTCAAAGAGAGTTTGGCTGGACATTTCAATCCCCGCACATTGAGTTAGCAGGCAGTAATAGGTATTAAAAAATCCAGTGCCTCAGATTTGTCCCAAAATTGTTCCACAAACAGAGGAACCCAGAGAACCCAGAGTCAGTAAAGTGTAATAATATTTTGTAGATGGGCGAACAAAAATGCCATTTCGTTACTGCCAAATTGCCAACATTGAAATTACCCTCAATACTGTCAAAAATTTGACCGATTTTTGGGAAAAGATGAACCATGAAAGACTGCGTTAAACTCAGATTGGCTCATACCCCTGAGTGAGGTAATGTCCTAACAAAAATGCTGCATTATTTGCAGCTGGTGATCTTATCCCCTGTAATTCATAAGGGGGTAATTCCAGGGATGGGTTAAAAATTAGCACTTTTCTGACTTTTCAGGGCTGTACCCTTTTTTGGCAGTAGACGGTACTGTTATGCTTCTTCCCAGAAGTTGGTACTTGTATTAGGAATAAAACCGTGGGGAGTTTATTTTCGGCAAGTTGTAGCAACATGAATGACAAAATATTTTACATGTGTGTCATGTATGGGTACTTCTGGAATTACAAAATAGCGCATGGGATCTACTTGGCTGCAGTAAAGCGTAAAAATTTGGGATTGCGTGATTTATTTTCCAAAGATTTTAGTTTCAAATCAGTGAAACATAGTATACTTCATTGAAAGACCCTGTGCGGAGACGTCTTGATTGAATATTTTTTCCTCCGCCACTCTATTATTGCCTGACCCCCCTCGCAGTGCCTAATGTGCCTCGGCAGTCTTGACGTGTTCGGGGCGACGAACCTCCACTGCTGTTCTGAAAAGTGCTTGGCAAGGAGAAGTTGACTGGGTGTTTCAATCCTCGGCAGTCAAAGTGTTAATGATCTCTTTCAGCTGAGGAATATCCCTAGGAGGACGGGCGAAAACCCGATCCTTGAGATATCCCCAGAGGAAGAAATCATGAGGTGTCATGTCCGGAGATTTAAATTGTCCGAGTGTTCGACTTCCTGGCTGGTGTGGGAGTTGTAAACGTGGTTTGCTATCATCCTTTGGAGCAATGAAACCCACTTCTCAGTTCACGGAACGGTCCTTACCAAATATTGCGTCGTCCGGGCAGAAGCAAATCCACACGCCGTTGCCCAAGAACCTCTCTACGATGAAAAATGTAGCCGTGTGGTGTGGATTCGCCCAGGACATTCCTTTAGGTCCCTTTCCCTTTTGAAACCGTACTGTTTGGGCTCTTCCAACAATCATTGTAACAACAGTGCGCTATAGGCTTTTATTGGAGTAGCCCGTCATTCCGGACCTGCAGCAGCAAAACATTGTGAATTAAGTCATGTTCGTTGGCCACTCCTTACTTACCATAAAGGTGTAAGTCAATCATAGTCAAAGAAGGCGCAAAAGGACACTAAACGAGGCACAAATTCTATAGCTATCTATCATGATCAAGCGGTTTCTTCCTGCTTTAATGACCCTATTATACCTCACCCCACCCCCTGCGTTAATAGAACCCCACATTTCCGGTGGTTGGTTCTCATATTCGTAGAGGTCCATACTGCCGGTAGTTTACGTGCCAAGTTTCAGCTTCTTCAGTCCATTGGTTTGTGTTGTACATGAGCATACATCGGTAAACTTCACAAATGGGTCAATGGGTCATGGCCCTGTACATCATTTACATTGTTGGTACACAGTAGATATGGGACACTCCAGCGAATATTACATGGAATCCCAGGGTTCAGGTTTCATCCTCGTCCGAATTTATTTTGAGCAGGCATATGAGAACTTAGTTCACAAGACAATCTGAAGCAAACCCTATTATGTTGACGACGAAACCCCTATAAATCTCTCGCTGAAAGGTCAACTATAAATATGTATCTCGAAACTTTATGCAATCGATGTACTGAAGGCTCGAAGGGTAAGGGGTGGTCATCATGTTACTCATTAAATTCACTCTATACTACACGAATTACAGTACGGAAGCCTTGGAAGAAAAATGTACTATTTGGGATGGCTTATTTGAAGAACTCAAGTAATGTTTTCTCAAATTGCCTTATGAGGTAATTTTAATAGGAGTTTTGAGTTCGTGTCCGATTGGGAACAACGTGCGGAAATAAAAATTCGCTAAAGAAACAACAGGTATAATTTGGCATATTTGGCAATTATATTCTTAACAAACAGCACAGAGTTTATGTCCTTCAAACGTTATTCATACATTGTCAAATTCTAATGTATGGTACTGAATCCATCGGTCAATGAGCGCCAATCGATCCAAAACCACCTACCACTTATTTTTCATGTTAATGAGGACGTTTCATTCAAAAGAGAAAGGCAGTGACTCGGGCATATTTCTACTTGTCACAGGGTATACTAATATTCGTGTTCCACTGTCTCCTGAATCGGCGCTTGATGAAGGCCTTCCAAACAGCGCTAACAAGAAAAGGCTGGGACTACCGATTCTTCAGGAGAACGGTATGCATATGCTTCATTACTGTTCCTTGAAAAGAGGTTTATAACTTGCACTTGAGATATCTGGAATATGAGCAGAGAGAAGACGAGAGTAAGCTGTGGACCAGGTCGTCACGTTCCAACGCCATTCGGGTTGTTTCTCGGTTGGAAACTCGAGGTTCGAATCTTGCATCCAGCTCGAGCGATCGGGTGAGCATCTGCGTGCAATGTACTTATATCGCCGTAATTCCTTTCTAATTAGAACTTTTGCTTTCAGGCCTTCTATTGACGAGCCAGACCTTCTGCTATCGAGACCGTTTGTGGAGTTGCAGTGTTCAATCAATAAGGATATTCTGCATATATGAAGGGGGAAAACGGTTATATTCCCGCATCGCATTCATACGACATCAGTGATATTGTATTAACCGCTACTTATAATTGGATAAGTGCGAATATTGATATTAATTTTGGTGAGGCGGTTTCATAGACAAGATTGACAATATCGATACGCACATTGTATTTAGTTGAACCTCCAAGACATTCGCAAGTGAAAGAGACCACTTAGAGAAGTCCAGTGTTCGTCATTTCTAACTGGGTCCGCTGCTTCAAAACTAGTAGGAAACAGCAAAATCTATTTGGTATATGAATTCACACCATTTCAAATAAAAAGCATAAACAAGTATTCCAGCTAATTTTGATTTACGAGGGGTGTTCCAAAAGTTTCAGGAATTAATAATTTTAATAACTACAGGTTCGAATGCAATTGAATTTCACATGCATATTCCTTGACATCTCATCTACTCTTCAAAATATTTTCCTTGTCGATTCACACACTTTTGCCACCGGGAGGACAGATAATATATACACTGTTTTTAGAAGGCGGGCCGCTGCTGTCGGAGCCAGCTTGTTGCTGCATCCTTGACGTCCCCTCCTTCCCTCAAATGAGTTCCCCAGTGATGATTTTTCGGACACCCAAAGAGGTGATTGTCAGAGGGAGCATGATTAGGGGTGTAGGACGGATGCGAAACAGTAGTCAGTTGAAACTCAGCGAGAAGGGCGGAAGTTGCCTAAGCAGCGTGCAAGCGGGCGTCGTCACAAAGAAGGCAGAGTTTCTTCCCACGCAATGCTCACCTCTTCTCTGAAACTGTCTTCTTCAGTTTATGGCAGTTACGCTGTGCGATTATGGTGGCACTGAGTTCTAAAAATCGATGAACAATGGCCCCTTATGGTCACGGAATACTGCCACCGTGATATTCTCGACAGGGGCCTGCGATTTGAAGTTTTTTGGTCAGTTACTGGAACAGACGGCAGCAAATAAAGAAATGAAGCGGGTACAGATCGAGGATCCGAGGGCCACTTCGCAGCGCCGAACTGAGATATAGGTGTTACACATTTTAATGTAATCTTACATTTTTCAGGCAATCTCCAGTGAATCGACACCTTTTTCAAGGCTCTACCACAAGTGGCACGAGTTGCCCGTAGCAACTGACCCATGACCCGATGGGGTTAAAGTGTTCAATTTCTGAGATTTCGTACACAATAATATAGCATAACTAATTTTGTGAAAATCTGAGACGTTTGACAGTTAAGCAAATGAAAAATATTTGTTTTAATTTTTCTCCAGTCTGTCTGAATATGAATAGAAAGAAAATAAAAGAATGCGAAATTTTACAAAAGAAGTTTGGAAAAATCCACCATGGATATTTCAAGAAAGGAACACCATTCTGATACGCATTTAAAGCAATTTACCTATTGGTCTAATACCGACTCAATATCATGAAAAAGTTATGAAGAAGGTTTTTTCAAATGATGCTTATAACCATGACTTCTTTTGCTGTAGTTTGAAAAATATTGCAGTTTGAATTGATTATGAATATTGATTTATGGGACACCTAGTAACTCTCCATGATATAGACAGATATGAATTACAGTCTCCCACAGAAGGAAGACATGAGAATTGCAGTAGGAATGCCAAGGTAGCACACCACATATTACAAGTTTGTGAATTTTCCAAGATGCCTGTTATGAAGGAAAAGGGTGATGGTAATTGGTAATAATCATATATATATCAAAATGGACTGAGTTGCAGGACTTCTCCAACTTACATTCTCTAAATTCATTTCAAGATATCATATGTTTGCTCCAAAATGTTTCTAGGGAAATGTACCTTGATCTTCAGGATCTAATAGTTCAATCCATGCATTCCAGAATGGTCAAATTTGAAAATTGCTAGGAATCCTTAGCCTCAGGAGTCCAAAGTAACAAGTGAAAATTCAAAGGTGAAGAGTACGGTACTCAGAAGCACGTACGGAGACAGAAAAAATGTTCTCATCACGCAGGTCCGACTACAAGAAAGCCATAGAATCAAAACACCATCGATGCGGCCCAGATGCTGATTTTGGGGTCCACAATACGGAAAAATAAAGAGCTGTCTAGTACCAGTCTTTTCTCTGCGAACGAGTATCAGTCCCATTCTGCAACCGCGGATCGAAGATGAGCTCGAAAGTAGTTCCGCAAAAAAAGAAGAGAAACATGATTCTAACCTGTCTCGTCTATTCCTTCGCAATACTTCTAACTACACTTCAGGTGAGAATCCCATTCTGCAAACAGGGGAGTACCTTGTTCTGACGATGTATTGAACTTAACAGGCGCTGCAGTACTTGGAGCGATACCAAAGTAAGCCGACGTCGACGACCTATCGGTTAGACGAACGGCAGAGTTTTCCTGCACCCAAAATCACCGTATGTCAAGCGCCTTCGTTCAAGAAAAGTGAAGAAGAAATTAAATCATATATCAACTACAGCTTGTCCGAATTCACCGAACGTGTTGGATACCATCTAAACGAGATCACTCAACGCTGCAAATTGGACATAGATTGGGATTGTTACCCAAATGGGGGATCCGGTTGGAGTGACGTCTACCAGAGCGAAGGCAAGTCATCAATATCCAAGGAAAGAAAATGTAATGTTCTCTGATAGTTTGGGAATGCAAGAGAGCTTTTTTCTATGATAGCGTTCCATGTCAAGACCTCAGTGTTCATGTCAAATGAGATTGATCAGGACCTTTCAAGAATAGATATATTCGTGGGAAGATAACCTCATATCTTTTGTATGTCTAATCTGATCATCTAGGAGGTACGATTCATCATGGAGAGCAATTTTTCGATGCGAGCTATGTTAAACTGATTTCCTTGGAGCAGGAGGAGAATGGCGGCCTACAATACTCATCTTCAAAGCAGAATTTAAGGAATAGAAACTTGATTTGAGTCTATGTTACACATTCCACCCCAATGTGAGCCTCGGATTCGGTGGGTGAATCTCCGGATATGAGCTCCAATTCGAGAATCCCTCGAGGAAAAAAGACATTGACCCAATCTACTGGGAAGTAAACATCCACCCTGACCTGGGATGGGCCTCCACATACGTTAGGTCTTCTTATACTCCTGTCAGGGTGATGCCAGGAACGTATAACCACGTGATTCTCTCGCCCAAAGAAGTCAATCAACTCGACACCCAGACCTATCACTGCGAGTCCTGGGACGGATACAGCAGAGACGAGGTAAGAAATTGGTTTCATCACAACAGTTTCACTTGTGCATTGTATTTATAACTTTCTTTGTGTAGTGCATGGACACATGCATATGGAAGTGGATCTCCATTCTGCCACTGCCGTGTCGACTTTCCTCGATGAACGTGTCTTTGCCGGTGTGCGATCAAGTGGAACATATCGTAACCCTTGCCGGCTTCTTTCCGACACTCATGACACACGGTCAACATTTTCGTTCGATCTGCATCTGCCCGCCCCCTGCCATCGCCTCCGCTACTCCGTGAACGTGAAGACTCCGAATCAAGCTTTCGACGAAAATAGCTATCTCTGGATTTATTTCCCTGAGGATATCGTCGATGTTCTGGTCGAGAAAGAGGCCTACAACCTCATGCAGGCGGTCGGTGAATTCGGGGGTTGCCTTGGTATGTTCCTCGGCATTTCCCTCGTCTCCGTATACGAGTCCCCCTGCCGACTCATCGAACTTTTGGCCGCAAGACGTATCGGCATTGGATGAAGACTTGTTTGGAATATTTAGATTTTGACAGATATAGGGTAAAAGACACAGTGATGGGCCTGTTAATGGCGGGTACTCAGTGATGGGCCACTTCGCAGGAAAATTCCAAAAACTAGGCATTTGTTCCATGAACACCTCTAAAGTGTCTATGTGCTTGAATGCTGCTAGCACATGTCACAACATGGGTAGGCTTGCTATGGAAGCTTAGCTATTGGAATTTTTATGTGCTGTGGCCCATCACTGGGGACCGGTCCATCACTGGGTCTTTTACCCTAACTACGAAAAACCTGGAGACTATCGATGCACCTTGTTATAGTTTCTCAAGTGCATTTTCTAATTCTCATCTTGAACTGTGTTATGCATTCCCCTTTGCATTGTGGCTCATCAGAAGACGAGCAATGATCCCAATGGCCGCATTCAGTCGTAGAGAAACGAGGTTCTGCCTGATGTGACGTTGGAACGTCGAATATTGTTGCGGTAACAGCATTACCCAGTGTCTACCAGAGTTGTGCTCTCAAGAATATGTGCATTCCGATGTCACTTTTAATGAAGACCAGGAAAATGGCACAAATGAAACACACTGAAACACACGAAAATACACGGCCGCAGAATTCCCGGCGAAACCGCCCAGTCTCAACTGGGAGTTTCTCGCACACCAGCTCAAAACCTCGATTGCGTTCCATGTGATTTGAAATCTGTTTGAGCCTTGGAAGGCCCCTATTGGAGGAAGAGGATTTGATACCCGAAAAAAGTTTGTAGCAGCGTGTCCTAATATCGTTCAAATAACCTGACCGACCCTTTTATACGGTACTCTGGGTATTCAGGCACTACAGCATCGTTAGGAGATGTTTTATGCTGTAGAGGGCGGCAACGTCCAGAAATAACTTCAGCTAGAAAGATATTGCATTGCAAAGGAATGTTCCAAATAAAAAAGTCCATGAGTAACTGGAATCCCCCTAATTAATGCGATAAGTTTCAGTACCAGATGCTGAACTACTAAGTACAGCAATACTAAGAAATACAGCACTTAATACTGCAGTACTTAATACTAGCTTACTGGGTAATACAGTAATGAGTATGACAGTAGTGAGAAATATGTTACTGAGTACTGCAGTCATGAGTATTACAATACTAGGTACAATAGCAATACATTATGCATGCGTCGTCGTCACACTCTGGTTCTCACCGGCCATATATTCTTGGAAATTTAACCTTAAAAAATTATAAATCTCCGTTGAGCTAACTTGCCTTTAAAAGTAAGTACCCTATAATAAACTATTATGAACAATTTCCGAAACTGACCACTTAGGCCAATTTTCCTTCCCATTTCTCACTGACAGAAATTCTCGCTTTTTTCAGATATTTTTTCGATGACTAAATGCATTTTTCTGTCGGAGCGCATTACTAGGACGATATCTTGATCCAGGTCAGGTATTAATCGGTTATGGCTCTTTATATTCGATTTCTGTCTCGGAGGAGGAGAGTTTTTAGACTCATGAGATACGCATTTTATTTTTCAAATGCATGTTGTCACTTTTTAATGCACTGTCTGTAACGCTATGTCTTGATAATGAGGTACTAACTAGGTATTACTTATCAACGATGCACTCACCTCACTGAATCTGTTTACCTGTTCAGGAAATAGTGCACGAACCTCATGCTTATCCTCGATGTATTGATTCCATACTCATTCTTGATGTGTGAATTAAGTTCATATTTATCCTGGATGTGTGAACCTCATACATATTCTCTGTGCATTAACCCTTTATATATATAATTGGTGTGTGAATTAAGATCATACTCATTCTCGACGTGTCAACGCCATAAATTTTCTCATCGTATGATTTCCATACATACCCTCAATTAATGAATTCCATACTGATTCTCCATTCCTATACTCGTCGCTTATTCTCAATTCGTCACCCCATACATATTCTGAGTGTGTGAATTCCCAACATATCCTCTGTGCGAACCCGATACATATTTTTGATGTGTAACCCCCATAATTATTCTACATGTGTAAACTCCATACTCTTTCTCAATATGTTGAAAACATGTATTTTTGTTTTGAATGCTATGGTCTTATCTAATAGTGGAAATGAAGAAATCAGGAAAAACATAACGCATTTTTCAGTGTGTGAGGAATGACTGAGCGACACGTTCCCAATATCAACTAATAGGTTCATCAAAAAATTATCCCGATATCACTTATTCGGTTTATCAATAAATGCTCTAAATATCGCTGTCTCCTAGGATGTGGTCCTATAACCCCTTGCAACTTAAATTTTGTGACGATATTCCGGATCCCAAACCCGCTAGACAAGGAAGGAATCAGTTGGTTCAGGCCGGAAATGGTTAACATGCCTCAAAAAGATTGGTCGGTGCCACGAAGGAGGAGGAAATGGGATAGGAATTCCTCGTTTCGGTTCAGGATGCTCTTACTTGTTCTGCGTGTAGAGAAACCGACTCGAGAGGAAGCTTCATTGGACAAAGTATTCGCGACGAACCTCGATCTGGCAATAAAGGGATACATAAGGTATAGAATAACTTGGGAGATTCGGGCCATATCGCGATTACGGGGAATATCATATGGGTGAAGTGTAACGCCGAACCGGCGAATGTTTCGTACAACTATAATAATGCAAATTTTGAGAGTCTATGTGAGCGCGTTTCAGGCATCGCCTGGGAGGGAAGGCTCCGTGGGCTGACGGTAGAGGAGGAGCCTTCAAGACGTTATGCTTGCAAGGCTTTAAATAGGAATGCATTCCCAAGAAGTCCATTAAATCGGTCATGATACCATACCGGTATCATGACCGATTTCATGGACTTCTTGGGGTTTATGGGTAAATTCGAATCACTTATCAGGGATAAAAAACGGAGATGGCATAAGTATAAGCTCACGGGAGATAGAACGGATGATGAGGTATGTAGGACCATCGCGAGATCGTCTAAGCGGGAAATGAGGTCTGCAATAAATCATTTCCCGCTTAGACGAGGAACAGCTGGCTTGTCATGCTAAGAAGATTTCCGAGGCTTTATATCGATATGCTAGCTGTAGGTGTTAACAATCGATCAATCTAATGAACGGCAGGGGGGAGTCGATCGCAAGTAATAAGGTCACGGCTGACATGCTTAACGAGTTCGTCGCTTCCGTTTTCACTGTGGAACCCGACGAAGCGCCCACTTCGGAGGAGTTGACTTCGGCATGCATCGAGGACTTTTACATCACCGATGTATGATATCGTGAGTATGATAGGGAAATTGAAGGCTAGGCGATAGGCCCCGACGGGTTCCCTGCGAGAGTCATCAAGGAACTTGTGAGATAATGTCGGTACAGCAAAAAGTCATATCTACATGAAGCTATTCGCGCAGTGAAGTATCAAGGACTGGAGGTTAGCGAACATCGTACCGATCTTTAGGAAGAGTTAAAGGAGTAAGCCATAAGCCGATAGGTCTGATGAGTATCCCAGGGAAGATCATGAAAGCATCCTAAGGGAGAAGCTCTTAGATTTCCTCAAAGGAAAAGGGCTCATTTTGGACTCTGAACCCGGCTTTAGGTGGCGTCGAAATCGTCTCACCAAATTGCTCGAATTCTACGATTAGGAAACGGAAGAGTGGGATAAGGGGAATCCCGGGAACATCGCCTATATAGATTTCGCGAAAGCTTTCGATACCGCTCCTCACAAGAGGTTAGGGGTTAAGGTTCAATGGGAACATAAAAATCGACCCCCCTGGATCGAAACTCCTCTTTATAATTGTAGTAAGGGACCTCCAGAATGCCTTGGAGCCGATTGCTGTCTCTTTGAGGTCACGCCCAGGGCCATGACTTGAGGTCAAAGGTCACGATTTACATGCCTCTCTTTGAAAATCTGTATCTCCCCAACCCTTGGTCGCAGAAACGTCAAATGTGTGCCATTCTCTTCAGAACATACCGCGTTAAATGTAAAAAAAAAAAACAAATGCATGCTTATGACTCTCGTAACCGAGACGCCATGGCACCATAACTAATAATTTTTCCATTGCAGACTTTCGTTTTCCTCGCTCATTCCTGGTAGAAATTTTCTATTGACAAAAGTATGCTACACTTTTTGGAGGCTATCATATTTTTTTTTTTGGTGGAGTTGCGCATTCTTTCCTCCACCCGTTACCTCTCGAAGTTCGACGATCCACCTGAAAATGCCACTTTTTTGGCAATGACTTCATGTTGACGGACACTACTCCAAAACGAGGCCAAAATTTAAAAACTCCTCTGATAGACCTCTTAAAGAGTCTCCCAACAAGCTTCGTGTGGATTTTCATGAGAATCAGCTCTCACACTTCTCAATCAGCTCATCTCGGAGCCTATCGCTTTTCTCTGGAGTCAATGTTGGAAATGGAGGCCATTCCTGTCATACCGGGTCGACTTCCTCTGTTTATCGGCCGAAAATACTGAATTTGTTCTGCCTATCGGATAGAGGGATTTTTCAGGGATCAAATGACACCAAGATTGCTTACACTCTCTCAGGAAAGAGAGAACGTGGAGCTTGAATTTCCGATATGCGTGAAATCGTGAATTCTCGCGCGCAGCTCTTCCTTGTTTGACATCCCTCCCGACTCGCACCCACTTGTGTGCGCGTGTGAGTGTGTGTGTGAGTGTGTGAGTGGCAGGAGGAGCAGGAGATCGACGATGGCGATGAAAGTGGCGCCATGCACGTCTTGGCATGTGAGAGAGGGGGAAGGGGAAATGACGAGGTAGACTTCAGGGAAAACGCACCAGAGTTTCGTTGACCTTTTCGTCCGCCGGTCATTTTAGGCACAATAATAGGAATAAGTCGCACTAATTTATAACCGGTTCACCTAAAAAGGCGATTCGTTATAGATGTCATCTGAATCGTGGGTCAAGCCACCACATCGTAGAGGAAAGCAGGTCGTGGTCGTTGGTGAGGAAGGAGTCATGAAGGAGAACTGCAGCCGATTGCTGCATGATTCTTCGACATGGCCTCAGTCAAATCGTTCTTGGT